CATATATAATTATTTAATTTGAAATACTTATTTTATATATAATATAATGGTGTAGTACTTGCCCCTTGAGTACTACATTATAGTACTATATACTCTGTCCTCTTTTGTAGAGTATATACTTATATGCTCAACCATACATCTATATAAACTGTGTTAAAATTGTGAATAGCTAGTTTGTAAAAAATTGGAATAATAATGATAATTATACGAAATTTTTAAAAAACCACAGATATATAATTAATAGACTTAAGTGTTCTCCAGATCAGAGTCTTCGATGTGGATCTTTCTTGCATTCTTTTTGATTTGCTTAAAAACCTTATTCGAATGTTTTAGATTACTATGTTCAATAAGATTACAGCGCTAAATTGCTCTTTTTTGTATATTCACTAAAAAGACTCTAAATTGCATAAGAAATACCTATAATGCAATATATCTATGTCTTTCAAATATAGGATATATATCTAGTAGAATGGCTATAATATATTATTATATTATTTATAATAATAAATAATAATATTTAAAAATTAATTATTATTAATCATTATAATTATTATTAATTATATTTGTATTCTTTATCCATTGTAATATAGTTTTAAAATCATTTTTATATTTGCTAATTGGTTTAAAATTAATTTATGCCAAATAGTTATTAAATAATAAATTATTAGAAACTACTATAAATAATTACTTAAAGCTGTGATATATAATTAAGATAGATAATATAAATAATAAAATAATATAAATAATAATTAAATAATTACATTTTCGTACTTAAAACCAGAGTCTCTGGTAGTTATAAATAAATAAATAAAAAAAATTAATTATATAACAAACTGGTTATAATATAACTAGTTAATATGACACAATTTAGGTATTAATATTAAACGAATAAAAGAATATATCTTAATCTTATATCTTAACACATATAAAAAATATAAAAAGATTTTTAAAATAATAAATTTAATTTTTCTTGTAAATAATAAAGTCAATTATTATTACCATAAATAATTATTATAAAAAAAAATTATATTATCCTCCAGTTGGTTTTTTAAATATTCAGAGTAATTTAAAGCTACTCATTTTTTTATACTAGGCCTTTTCATAATTTTTACTTAACATACTAAATTCGTGCTAAATAGCTAAAATGTTTAAGCTTTAAATTTTTGCTAAATATTTTGTAAGAAATATTAAAAAGTTACAGTTTATCAAATTACCATATCACAGGGTAAGTTAATGATTAATTCGAAGTATTTCATTAGTTGTTGCCCCTTAAGTTTACATACTTTTTCAGTTTAGTGTATGTGTATCAAATGTAATATTAATATACCAAATGATACTTTATGCATATAAATACACTCATATAAAAAATAATATCTGTGTATATAGGTCGAACTCTGCAATATAGCTTGCAAATAAGTAGCATATTGATTATGTATTCATTTAGCAATTTAATATTTTTAAACTATAGCAATTTAGTATGAGTTTAGCATACTAAATATATACTATGAAGAAGGCTATTATGACTGTTTTAGATTTTTTACTGGAGCCTATTGTGCTAACATTAACAACATTTTTGATATAATGCTTAGGAGCAATGTAATTTTATAATGTATACATACATAAAACAATAATTATAAATAATTTAATTTTAATATATTCAATAATTAACCACAATATATGCACTTAATTAAAACTTAAAATGTATGGAAATGTTGCAGCAACACAAAGACACATTTAATATATCCCTTTTAAAATTATTGTAAATTACACCCAAAAGATAAAAACGACACAGATATTGTAATTAACAACAACAAGTTTAATTAAGAACACAAAAATATAAATAATAAAAATACACTTCAATTAGTTTTTTAATATTATATACTCTAATTATAAAAATTATTTAGAAAATATAGTAGTGATTAAAAATAGTGAAGAACTAGTGAAAAACAACAGGCTACATACCAGAAATAGTTACTAAAAACTGAGTTAAAATTTTTTATTATATAATAAAACGCACAAATTACACAAATAACACAAATTACGTAAATTACACGAATTACACACAATACGATTAAAAAGATACAGACGAGCGAAAGAATTAAATAAAAATGCTAATTTTTGTTTTAGTTTATGTATTAAAAATATTTAATTATTTTTTTAAACTTTATTTAAAAAATTGAATTAAAATTAATTAAAAATTAGATTAAACTAAATGAGAGAAAGAAAAAAAAAACTAAAACTTAAATTTATTTATTATGAAAATACAATAATTTAATTATTAAAAATTTAAAAATTTTGTATATTTTACAAAATGCACACACAAAAATATAAAATATTACAAAATTTTTCTTATAATTAAACTAAAAAATTAATATTTTGTAATATATTATATAATATGAAAAATAATAAAAACTATTTTTAATTTTAATATTATTATAAGAAAAATGTCTTTTATGTTTTTTATTTCTAAGAAAAAATAATTCAAATAAAGTAATGCTATTAATTAGTAGAATCACTTTATGTATATATAACAATTTATTTAATACATTGTTTATTATTATATAATTATTGCATATTAAGTGAAGTCTTAAAAATTATAAAATTTTAAGCATACAAAATTTTATTTACTTAATTAATTTTTTTTTTCATTTTATTGTAAATTAATTGAATTTTATTTCTTTAATTAACCAATTTATTTTTTAAGAAATAAAAATAAAATAAAATATTTAAAGGAATAAAGTTTTAAAAGGAAAGTATTCTACTATTCAAAAATTCTTTAAATAATATTAAAAATATTAATATTATTATAAAAAATATCATCAAATTTTTTTTAAATATATTATTAAAGAATACATACTGAAAATGAAATTTAGTTTAATTTAAAATAAATTTATTTATAAAATTTATTTTATGTTAAGCTAATTTGTTATTCATTTTGTATTTTCATATTTATATTTATTTTTTTATTTAACATTTTTTACGGGTGTCAAAAAATAGGAAAAAAAATAAAAGGACTTAAGTATTGTACTGGATTTATACAAGAGTTTTTTTTTGTAATTACAGCTGTCAATTGATGTTGTTTTTAATGCAAAATAAATATTTTGACAACTAAAATTACAAACAAAACTCTTGTGTGAATCCAGTATTAATAGTGTTGTAAAGTGTTCTTGTATTAGGATATATATGTAAAGTTTAATTAAAATAATTAAAAAAAATTGTATTGAAAGTGAAATTTGTTTTGGTTTTATATACTATAATTTATTTTTGGAAGGGTGAATATTGAATGCCTAATTGTATACGATTTTTGGGGTCGTTTATTCTGTGTCCTCTTGAAATTTCCCGAAATTAAAACTTTTTATATAATAAACAATTTAAAGTTTTGGCTTTTTCATTAAATTTGTGTTTTTATTAGTGATTTTGTATATAAAAATTCTTATATTTTATATTATAAATATTTTAATTCTTTACAAGCTCAGACAAGCAATAAATATAAATATAATTAGCACACAAAAATTAATACGGGGAAAAACAATTAAAAACTATTTTAAACACAAAATTATTAAACACAAATTACATACATCAAAATACACAGAGAGAAAAGCTAAAGACACTGCATAAAATTTCTTATAAAAATGTATATATGTATTTAATGTAATATATAATTATATATATTAAACGACACACATTTATTATGTTTATATAAAAAAATATTTAATATAAATTTTGTTTGTGATAAATTATTTTGTAATTCAATTAAATTGATGTTTATAAGAAAATTAGCATAAACACAATGTAAGCTTTAAGTTTAATAAACAAATTTTTAATTTTAAAAAAAATTAAAAATACACTTAAAAAAATTTATGAGAACTAAAAAATATGCTTAGAATATAAATGAAATTTTTTTTGTTTTTTTGTTTTTATATTCGATATATTGTGTTTATGTGATGTTTCGAAATAATTCAAATGTATGTAGTATATATGTAAATGTTTTTGTGTGATTTTGTGTGTATGAATTTAAATGTCAATTTTTCAGTTAAAATTTTGACATTTTCGAAATGATGATTTGTAATGAAATTCCACTATTCGAGTTTTGTTATAGTTTTTTTCTTCGAGACTAAAATATTTCAATTAATTTTGAATTAATTTTTATTCAAATTAAAATTTCAGTGTATTTTTGTGATTTTAATTTATACAATTTTAAGCACACAGTTGAGTATTTTAATTTTGTACTGTATGTTTGTTTTATAAAAATGTTGAAATAATATTTTTGACATAATCTAATAAATTTTATTAAATTATTTTTTATGGGAATATAGTATTGCCAATCACTTGTACAAATATTTTTATTTTTGTAATTATTTAAAAATCAGTTGCAAAACTTGCTTAGGGCGCACTTCTTTTAATTATTAAATTTGTAAATGCAATTTATTTATATTAGTTAGTTTAATAACTGTAGTTTGTTAGCAAAATTGATAATATTTGAATATTTTAAATGTAATAAAAAATGCTCAAATCAAATACGTATTAAAATTACAAGTACACATGCATTACATAAAATCAAACACAAACTTTTTAACTATGCAATTAAATATTCAAAAAAATACACTGAAAAAAATTCAAAACAAACTAACTCACTGTAAAAAAATAAAATAGAAACTTTAATAATTGCAATTTATTATTATTATTTATATATAATATTTTTTCAAATTAAAGTTTATAATATTTTTATATATTGTAATTATTTTTGTTTCTATTTTATTTTATTTTTTTTTTTCGTCATGATTTGTTTTTTTAAACTAACATCGATGCTAAAACACTAAACAATGTTATGCATGTTGTTGTTGCTATAGCAATGATTGTTGTTGCTGTAGTTGTTGTTCTGGTGGCAGTTCTTGTCGTTATGAATTTAATGTAGTGTTTGTGTTGCGAATTAGCCGCCGAATTAAATCCGGCAGAATACAATAAAGTTCCAAGATTATTATTAGCAGAATCGGACTCACCTCGTGTCGTCTTCATAATAATTGATGCAGGCGATGAGAAACCAATGGCATTATGTGCTCTCAGATCGATGTGATAATAGGTGTTGCCACTTAAACGAGACATCTCGAATGTGGTTGTCTCAGCAACATCAACAGTCATGCATTGATTTTCGAATTCAGTCCATTCACCAGCAATTTTGACACCCTATCAAGAAAATAGAGGAAACATAATTTATAAGTCCTTGGTTAAATAAGACAGATGATATTTATATATTTTTAATATTTATTATATTTATCAATACTTATATATACATTAAAGTTGTACTGCCTAACATTAAAATGAAGTCTATAAATATTACTACATGGTTTTACCATCGGTATTTATATAGTATCAAATAGTGACGTAGTGAAGATTGTGCCGAGGGAGTCATATAGGAAAATGTTTTTTTTTTTGCCAGTATATTATGTAGCATGTATAAATGTATTATTTACGAATTATATTATCAAGGGGGATCTATCCCATTAATCTCAACGATTAAGCCTTCCCCAGAAAAATTTATATATTAATGAAATATTGAAAATTTTTAATACTTCATTTCCAATATATAGTACGTCCCATTAAAAGCTTGTATTTATTAGAATAAATAATTATTATAATAAATAATTTATTATAAATAAATAATTGTTATAATAAATACATTTATTATTAAATAAATAATTTATTAAATAATAAATTAATTTATTATAAATACATTTATTATGATAAATACATTTATTATAATAAATACGTTTATAATAATAAATACATTTATTACAATAATTGCGTTTATTACAATAATTGCGTTTATTACAATAAATACATTTATTACAATAAATACATTCATTACAATAAGTACATTTGTTTCAATAAATACATTTATTATAATAAATGCGTTTATAACAATAAATAAATTTATTACATTAAATACAACATAATATTTTATAATAACATTAATAATAAATGTCAAAACTTACCGGACAATATTTGACCTGATAGAAATCTATTGGTTCACCATTGTCAGCGGGTACACTCCATCGTAATTCAAAGTGATCTGAGTATGGTGATACAATAACAGGTTCTTCTTTGTCATTTTGTACTGGCGAATGCAATGGCTTAGGTTCTTCGGGTGCTGAACGTCTGGGTGTTGATTGCTGCAAATTAACGCCCCAATTACCAAGACCCACTAGATTACGTGCGGCGAAACGGAAATTATACATAGTTTGTGGTTTCAGTCCTTCAACAATATAGGGTGAATCTGGTGACCAGCTACGGTTAAAAGCTGTAGACCAATCTGGATTTAAAGCCTCTTTAAATTGTACATTATAAGCAATGATGGGTAAACCGATTTCTGTAGGTGGGCCACGTATGTCGAAAGTAATAGTGGTAGCTGTTATTTGACGTGGTGTAGCTGCTTCAACAAAGCCAGGAATGCGTGCTTCTTTTAATTGTATATCCTGTTCAGCTGTACCGTGTATGTTGGTGGCAATGCATTTGTAAACCGAGTAATAGTGACGTGCTACAGGATGTACAATTAAATCACTACGTGGTCCAGTACCAACAATAACTAAATTCTTATCGTATGCATCCTTGATGGGACGACCATTCCAACGCCATTCAATGGTAGCATTTGGTATACCCATAGCAAGACAACTTAGATTAGCTTTACGTTCCTCCCAACTGAATACTGGTGGCAATTCTTTCATATGCGTAAAATCTGGTGGGAATTCGATCGTAATATGACCAGTCTTATAAGCAGTATCACCTTTGTTACGTGCTATACATTGGTAAAGTCCATCATCAGTGCGCATAGCACGTGCTATACGTAAAGTACCAGTACTCTCGCCACGCTCTTCATCAAAATGCTGTTCGAGTATAATACGTTCATCATCAACTTGTGTCCCAGGTGCGTATTCCTCTTCAGATCCCCAACGACGGAATGTAATAGCTGGTGCAGGACGTCCCTTAGAGCGACAAGTTATGGCAACTTCTTTTTGACTCACACCGGTGACATTGTATAATTCGTAAACTTGTGGACGCACTAAGACATTCAATTTTGTTTTTTGATCTACAACACCGGCATCATTTTTGGCTATGCATGTATAGGTGCCATAATCATCCTGACTAACTGAGTTTATATTGAGTAAGCCTGTGAGTGCATTTACTTGGAAGCGATCTGCTGTGGCTACATTTTGTTGTGCTGCATCTTTAATCCAAGAGATTTCTGGTACTGGCTTGCCAGTTGCTGTGCAGTTTGTTGCGAATGATTTTCCTTCGACAGCTTCAAGTGTGTTTGGTAGGTAAGTGATAACTGGGCGTATATAGACCTCGACGCGTATTGTGCGTTCCAAAAGTTCACCAGTTTCAATAACAGCAGCACGACAGGTATAAGTACCATCATCGGATTCTTGTACATTACGTATGAGTAAACCATGTGTTTGCACGACATATTTATCACCAGAGCGCACCTGTGCGAAGGAATAAATAATCAATATTTCATAATATGGATGAGGAAGAGATTTAAACCGTTGTTTTTATTTTTAGAGAATTACAGAATTTTTATTAAAAATATTTATTATTTATTTAAGTATTTATTGTTACTTACAGGATCACCGTTTCGCAACCAATCAATTGTGGGATTAGGGTCTGCTTTAACTTCGCATTTAACAATGTAGTCTTCACCCAAAATCGGATATTGACTCTCTGGTGCATTCGTCCATGTTATTGCAACTAAAATTCGTTAAAAAAGAAAATTAAATAAATATTTGAAAAACGTTTGAATATAGTGAAATTTTTTTTTTTTTAATTTTATTTTTAAACTTTATTTGCACTTTAGTGGCATAAAGGCACTGCGCAACAACAACAGCAATAAATAAAATTTAACAAGTTCTTGGCATGTTTGTGAGCTGCATTTGTTGGCAAGTGAAATGCTTTAACGAGCTGCAAGCAAAAAATTATAAAAAAAAAAGGAAAATGGAAAACTTTAAGGAAAAGGAAAATTGAAGAAAGGATCAACTTTATAATTTTTAAAGTTTATCAGTTTGGCGAGAGATTTAACATTTTTAAGGTTGTGCCAGAGCATCATTTCATGACACTTTATGTCCTTTTCTTCGGATGCAATTTAGTCTATTCCTTATGTTCTTAAGTGTGTACGTAAGCAATATTTCCGTTTTTAGTTTATTGTCAGAAAGCTTTTACACATATGTCAGCAAGGATAACAAGTGAAAACTAGTTTAATATTTTTTTAGTATATATCTTTTACTTTTTTGTAAACACCAGCATTATTAGATTTTTTAATTTGAGTGACAATGATAACACTACTGGCTATTGCCAACAAAGCTGCCAACCTAAAACTGATATGAAGTGGATACTAAACGGTGACTACTGTAGCTTCAGTAGTTTCTCAAGATGAGGAAGATAAAAAGATGAGAAGTGTTAGGTGTTATGGATTTATTTTTATTATTTTTTATAAAATTCAATGATTAAGTGAATTTTTGATTGAATCAAGTTGCTTCTTTAGAAAGTTACAATTATTGAAATACTATGAGGTTATGTCAGAAAGCTATACCAAGTATTATATCCTTTTCACATATAGTCTTTAAGAGAATAAACTATTATTGTTTGTTTGTATTGCATTGATAGGAATTGATAGGATGACTGTTGCCTGAATTTATTTTAAAAGGCAAGGAATAATTTTAATTAATGAAATTAATTTAATTTAAAAAATTTATCATATCTTAATTTTGATACGTTAATAATAAGAATGCATACGTATATATATTGTTCTATGCTTAATTTGATGGGCGATGGTGCAATACTTGAGATCTTGCGAAGTCGGCTGAAATCATGAATTAAAAAACAGTATATGCGAAGAAATACAGGAGTCAGTATCAAGAAACTAAGAAAATATATCAGCATCAGAAACTTATCTGATGCAAATCTTATAATTTTAAGATAGTTTAAAAATCCATTAGGCAACTTTAACTTCAACAAAAAATTAAATTTTTGTATTGACTTTTACAGGCACAGATGAAGAATGAAATATTGATGGACCTATAAAGGTTCAAATGGTTTGATCGTTTAGATATTCGAGTATATATTTGTCGTGGGCTTAGTTGCCGTATGTTTACCTAAGCAAACGGCTACTTCTCTAAATACTCAGATGTTTATTTGATAAACACTACAGTGGTTAAATAGATGAATAAATAGATTTGTAGATGATACATATAGATTAAAAGATGATACAGTATTAATTCTAAGGAGCATGTTATGATTACAGTCACAGTTACGAAGTTGTTGTTGTTTTTAATGCAAAATGAAAAATTAACATCTGCAACAAGAATTTGTGACTGTGACTGCAATCATAACATGTCTCTGAGTTTTCTGTTTATTAACCAACAGGAATCCAGTATACTTATTATAACACCAACAGGATTCTACTATATTTATCGCAACACCAATGATAATCCAGTTTCCCTTTCGTAACACCAAAGAAAATTCAGTAGAATTATCAAAACACTGACGTGAATCCAGTATATTTATAGTAACTCCAACGGAAATGCAGTGTTCCAATCGTAACAAAAATGGGAAGCCAGTATGCTCATCAAAACGACGATGGGAATTTAGTAATCTTATCACACATTATTCATAATACTGTATGTTATTCATAACATCAGCGGGAATATATTTCTATATTGGAAATATAGAATTTTTACCGCAATCTCAACGTGGACCCAGTAGGCTTCTCACAACACAAACTAGTACGCTTATCGCAATACCAACTAAATTCAACGGAAATCAATTATGCTTCTATAAAACTGAATTAGTTATCATAGATATTATGAACGTAGAAAATTTCAACAGCGCTGAACGCAGAAAAAGTGATTAGTTATGACAGAGTACACACGACATGAAACAACATAGAAACACAAACAATACTAATTGAATCCGATCACTAAACATTTCGTATACAAAGAAATATAATGCAATTGCAAAATATTTGATTCACCTAATAAAATGTGTTTTCTATATTTACATTAGGAAACCAAAATTCTTAAGTTTATTTTATTATTATTACTTTGTTACGAATAAACAAATACATTGTTTTCGATAAGATAGAATAGGTCAGCTAATATCTTCTTACGTTTCCGTTTAGTTTTATTTTGATATGAATAATCAAAATTATTATTTTCCATAGCCAGTTTTCCAGATAACACAGGTCAGCTAATACGTTTCTCTTTATTTTTATTTCGATATGAATTATCAAATATATTGTTTTCTACTGACAGTTTTCCAGATAACTTAGGTCAGCTAATATCTTCTTACGTTTCCTTTTATTTTAACTTCGATATGAATAGTCAAATATATTGCTTATAAGTCAGCTAATATCTTACGGCATAACTAATTCATTCTTAATAAAGGCACAAAACAATAACTCAAATCAATACAATCAGTAGTAGATAATGACAGCACACTCTATAGGATCCCACTGGTAAGCAAAGTTCTGAATTATTATTCCATTCTTACGCAATTAAACCTATGTAACTTTTGTTTATAACTTTTTAAGATTTACAGTGTTGCCATACTTCCTTTTTCCGTTTTGTTAAGAATAAAGTCCTTTCTGCATTATTTTGTGGTATTTTAAATTTAAAAACTTTAAATTTAACCATTGCGCCAAGTGACCAACTTCAAATGTTAAGTAATTCTATAAAATTTTATAACTTTATGCAAATAACTTTTGAAATGGCAATAATTGGTTTCCTAGCAACAATACACCTCACAAATAAAACAACAGTACGAAAGTTCTTTGTGCTAATTTAACAAATCAATTTTACATTATTTCATAGTGGCAATGATGGTTTCTCCTTTACAGGCAGTTGACACAATACAAAGTGGAACACTATAGCACACACACACACTTATTCACACTTACACTCACCTACAACAGCCAAACAAATCGAAAAGTTTTTCAATAAGTTTGAATTGCAGTTAGGCAGATTCAAGTCAAAAACTAATAACAAAGATGCATGTTACTTTCAGTGTTGTTGCTCTGTTAGTGCACTGTTGTTGCATTGGTGTTGTTGCATTGCTGTTGTTGCTTTACTGTTGTTGCATTACTGTTGTTGCTTTGCTGTTGTTCCATTGCTGTTATGTACGAGTATTTTTCTTCTGTTACTTTTATTCTTGATGCATGCATTGTTGCTGTTTACCGGGTTGAAAATGTTCACTTGCCAAGGTTCAGTCAGGCTTGCCCTGCATTTATTATTAATGCACTCCACTTTAGTTTTCATATAACTTTTACTTCAACCTTCATATAAGTTTTATTCTCTGCCAAACGTTTTTTGGCTTATATGCCAAGTTAAAGTAAACATGTGTCTGTTAAGCTGAGCTTCTTACAGAGACTCTGCTCCAATAACGTTGTAAGTGCAGAATTATACTTTCAGGAAGTTTTAGTACATCCGGGCGTTATGCACACATTTGTTGGTCTTTGCTTTTCTTTATTTGCACTCACTTGATGTCATTGCTTTTGAGCACAGTATCCCGTAAGTGTTGAAATCATAGAAAGCTCTATTTGTCTCTTTTTTTGCTTGAAGAGTTAGTGGGTACTGCTTTCCTTTACTGGTCTTGCTTTCCTTCACTCGTCCTGCTTTCCTTTACTGATCCTGCTTTTTTGGTCCAGCTTTCCTTTATTCTTTCAATTTTTTTCAAAAAAAATAAAAATGGAAAGAGAAAAAATTGCGTTAACTGTATTCACATGTTATATTTTATTTCAATCAGGATGCATTGGTGAAATTATTGTTTTGAAATGGACTTTCTTTATACTGACAATTTGCTTTTTCCTCTTGTCTTCTGCAAATAATATAGAGCATAGCAGGAAGAACTTATTGATTCCTTATTGGTTCAGTACTTTTGTGGTTTGATGTTGAAATTTGTTTAAATTAAAAAGTGAATTTGTATTCTCTTTTTTTCTCAAAGTAGAAACTTTTGAATAGTAAAGTTTAAATTTGCATTTAAATATAAAACTTATAATTTGATTTAAATTGTTAAAATATTGAACGTGGTTAGTGTGGGATTTTCAAACATTTTGGAGTCATTTGATTTTGCAAATAGAAATAATAATAGAGATAATAATAAAAAAGATTCTATTTCTAAATTCGAGAAATTACTATTTTTTACCGAATTTAGCGGTTCAGGTTTTTAAAAATTTTGGAAATTTTTTTTTATTATTTTGCTTAAAAATGATGAGAGATAATAGCAAATAGAAATAACAATAGAGATAATAATGCTAATAGATTCTATTTCTATTTTTGAAAAATTTTATATAAATGAAATTTGCTCTCAATTCCATGAATTACAATAGAAAAATCAAGGGGAATCTGATTTTAAAATGTTTTCAGATAATATTTATATTTTAAATTGGATATAAACTAAAACCTCTATTTGAAATTTTAATTAATTAAATAAAATTTTTGTGCTTTCGTTGTTTTGCGAATACCAAACTCAACGTCAGTTAATAAAGTAGTAATTCAATAACTAATGGTAGGAATGTCATAAAATTTTGACATGTGGCATTTGAGAATCGTCGTTTCATAAAAATCATATAAATCAATAATTAAAAATAACTTAAATTCAAACATCATATAAGTAATTTTAATAAAATGAAATGTTTTAAATTGAGAAGAGCTTGCATTTCCTAAGTGGGGAAATAGGTTATGATGCATTTGGGTTTA